ACAGTGATTGGACCAATATACATTCCCACCAGCAGTGTAGGAGAGTTCCCTTATCACCACATCCCTGCCAGCACTTATCTTTTTTTTTTTTTTTGTATTTTTTAATCTTTCCCATTCTGACTGGAGTTAGGTGGTATCTCGTTGTGGTTTTGATTTGCATCTCCCTTATGGTGATGAATGCTGAGCATTTTTTATGTGCTTTTTGGCTGTTTATATGTCTTCCTTAGAGAGTTGTTTAATCGGCTAATTTTCCCATCTTTTAATTGGGTTTATCATTTTTTTTTCAGGTAAGCTACTTGAGTTCCCTGTGTATCCTGGTTATAAGTCCCTTATCTGAGATATAGTTTACAAAAATATTCTTCCATTCTGAGGGTTGTCGATTCACACTAATTAGTTTGCTGTGCAGAAATGTCTTAATCTGATATAATCCCAGTAGTATATTTCTGGGATTATTGCCTGTGCTTTGGATGTCTTATTTAAGAAGGCTTTGCCTATCCCAATGTCTTCCAAAGTTTTCCCAGTGTTTTCTAACAGTAGTTTTATTGTTTGAGGTCTAAGGTTTAGATCTTTGATCCACTTTTAGTTGATTTTTGTTAGTGATGAGAGATTGGACCCAGACTCATCTTTCTGTAGATGGATACCCCGTTTTTCCAGCACCATTTGCTAAAAAGATTTTCCTTTTCCCTCTGGATTGACTATTTGTCAAAGATTGGTTGACTTTATGTTTTGGCTTTATTTCTGGAAACTCTGTTGTGTTGCATTGGTCCACATATCTGTTTTTGTGCCAATACCATGCACATTGCCAATACTATGCATATATTTTGGGGTCAGGGAGTAAGATGTTGCCCACTCCACTCTTCTTATATAGGATTGCTTTGGCAATACAGAGTCTTTTATGATTTTAGACAAATTCTATGATTGTTTTTTCTAAATCTGTGAAGAATGTCTCTTGTAATTTTATTGGGATTGCATCAAATATGTAGATTAATTTAGAATTTAGAATCGCCATTTTTATTATATTCTCCCAACCTAGGAACATGAGATAAACTTCCACTTTTTTATGTCATTTTCAATTTCTTTTTTTTTTTTTGCCTTTTTTTTTTTTGTATCAATTGTCTTATCTTGAGTTGTAGTCAGATCTGTGTACCTACTATGTGGACAGAACCCTAACCTGTTTGCTGGCTTTAAGTCTAAACAAGTTCTCTTAATATTTTTTGATTTTGATTTATTGAAGCTAAAACTGCCTTTCTTGAAATTAAAAAAATATATTGAAAAATACCTATTTAATGACCACAGTAAACTATATAGCCTCAGTTAGGTGCTACAAACGTGTGTTCACAGATATGTATATGTCTGCTGAACTTGCTATTGAAAGTAGTTAGATTAATTAAGACATTGTTCAAATCAATAAACTGTGGGGGAAAAGAAAAAGGAATGGTAAGCAACTGCAGTTACCAGAAACAGTGTGAGAGAAGAGAGGAAATGGCAGAGGGTGAGAAATAGGGGGGAAGAAAATTTATACACACACACGCACATATGAAACAAGAAATGGAAAATTATTTGTTGACGACTACATGTATGATTAAGCCACACTATACAGTGTATTCTGGGTAGGAAATTGTATACTGTACACTGTAGTGATGTTCAGTGAATGAGTGTAAAAATCAATCAGTTAATAATCAATTTCTTTTTTAAGATTTCACAGTTTTCCTTGTAGAGGTCTTTGACTTCTGTGGTTAGATTTATTTCTAGGTATCTTATACTTTTTGTGTTTATGGTAAATGATATTACTTTCTTCAGTTCTGTCTCTGCTTGTTGTTTGTATATAGAAATGCTATAGATTTTTGTAAGTTCATTTTGTATCCTGTCACTTTACTATATTCATTTATTACTTCGAGAACTTTTTTTGTGGCTACTTCTGGGTCTTCTATGAATATAATTATGTCATCTGCAAACAGAGATAATTTAAACTCTTCTTTACCTATTTGAATGCCTTTTATATTATTCTCTTTTCTGATTGCATTGGCTAAGACTTCCAGCACTACACTGAAAAGCAGTGGAGTAAGTGGGCAGCCTTGTCTAGTATCAGTTTTTAGTGGAAGCCAGTTTTTGTGGAAAAGTTTTCAGCTTTTCCCCATTCAGGGTAAGCTATAGTTTTTACATGGATGGCTTTTATTATGCTAAGGAATGATCCTTCTATGCCAATTTTGCTGAGAGTCTTGATCATGAAGTGATGTTGTATTTATTAAATGCTTTTTCTGCATCTATTGAAATGATCATATGTTTTTTATCTTTCTTTCTGTTAATATGGTGTATTATGTCTTATGCATATATTGAACTACCTTTCATCCCTGGAATAAAACCTACCTGGTCATGATGAATAATCTTTTTTATATGTTGTTGGATATGATTTGCTAGTATCTTGTTGAGAATTTTTGCATCTATATTCATCAGAGATATTGGTCTGTAGTTTTCCTTTCTTGTTGTATTCTTATCTGTTTTGGGAATGAGGGTGATGGAGGCTTCATAAAATGAATTTGGGAGCGTTTCTTCCTTTTATAGAAATAATTTGAGTACAGTGAGGATTACTTCTTTAAAATGTTTGTAGAATTCAGAAGTGAAGCCATCAGGACCTGGCCTTTTTTTTGTTGGGAGGTTATTTATTAACTAATTTAATCTCATTGCTTGTTAAGGATCTATTCAGGCTTTCTATGTCCTCTTAAGTCATTTTGATAGATTATATATGTCCAGGAATTTTTCCATCTCTTCCAGATTTTCTTGTTTGCTGGTGTATAGTCATTCATAGTATTCTCTAATGATGCTTTGTATTTCTGTTATGTCTGTTGTAATATTGCCTGTTTCATTGTGAATTTGATTTATCTGGTTTCTTTCTTTCTTCTTTTTTAGTCTAGCTAATGCTGTGCCAATCTTGTTGATTTTTTCAAAGAATCAATTTTTGCTTTCATCTATTTTCTGTATAGTTTATTTTCTATTTCATTTATTTCTGCTCAAATCTTTATTATATCTTTTCTCCTGGCATTTTTTTTAGATTTTTTGTTGTTGTTTTTCCAATTCTTTGAGGTATAATGTTAGGTTGTCCATTTGCCACCTTTCCATCTTCTTCTTATGTGCACTAATTGCTGTGAACCCTCCTCTTTCAACTGCATTTGCGGTGTTCTATAGATTATGGAAACTTGTGTACTCATTATCATTTGTTTCCGTGAATCTTTTGATTTCAGTCTTAATCTCTTCGGTTGTTCTGAAGTCATTCAGGAGCAGGTTATTTAATTTCCATTGTATTTGTATATTTCTGAGGGTTCTTCCTGAAATTCATATCAGGTTTGATTTTATCAGGGCTAGAGAAGATGCGGTATATATGTGTTTGAGTCCAGTGACATAACCGCTGTGCCATCTGCTAGCCCTGCCAGGTACTTTAATAAGTGCTCTCGTGTACTTTTTTTTAAAAAAAGAATTAGTTTTATTTTATTTTGACTTTATTATTATTATTTTCCAATTTATCAGAGAGAGAGAGAGAGAGAGAGAGAGAGAGATTATTATTATTATTTTCCAATTTATCAGAGAGAGAGAGAGAGAATGAGAGAGAGAGAGAGAGAGAGAGAGAGAGAGAGGGAGAGAGAGAGAGAAAGACACAGTGATAAATCACTCCCCTGGGTCGGGGGATGACCCCACCACAATCAGAGGCCAGTTCCCTTAACCACCATGCCACCGGCTGGTCCCATCTCTTATGTACATTTTTAAATGTAATCTTCACAATGATTTGGAAATAGCTACTGTGGTTATCCCTGTTTCACAGGTGAAAAAAAGTAATGCAAAAATATTACCAAATCTTATACTAGAAGTAAGTAATAGAATCAGAATCCAAGTCCTAGGAATTCTCTCTCATTTCTACTACATTGCAATACTGATGAAAATGAAGAAGCCTGATGTAGGATTAATGCCTGAATTTAGAGGCTAGGAAATTCAGATGGAGTTGGTTTTCCTTTAGAAAACAGTTTCTAAGTGTATTCACTTACAGATAAATGAGTGAAGAAAACCGCATTATGTTTGGGATAAAACTTTTGTACTTTGGATTGCTTTTTTTTTTTATTTTTGCTTAAGGAAACCCTAGTTTTCTGAACAACTTTTGTTAAATACACTTATTATCTTGGATATTGTCACTTTTACTTTTTTTTTTAAAATGAATATTAAGCTTTCAAGAAACCAAGTGACTTGCCTAGATAATGTTGTAATAAACTGAAATATAGGGACCAGCAGTTAGCGTAATGGCTATGTCGCTGGACTCCCATGTAGCCGACCACGGTTCGAGTCATGGACCCAGTGACTTAAACTCACGCCGGGTGTGTGTGCGTGTGTGCCCAAGATCCCGAGAGAAGAATGGAGGAGAAGGGATTGCAGTGTGGCCATCTCCCCGCAGAGTGGGGGCGTGGGGTGGGGTGATTTCTCGCTTTCTCTCTCACTGTCTTTGTCTTTCTGGTGGGCGCATGCACCCTATAGCAAAAAACTCTCCAAAAAAAAAAAAAACCTGAAACATAAGCAAATTAAATAATTGAATGCTTTATATGAAGTCAATTTAGGATGCATATCTTTTTATATTTATATAGCTATGTGTATTTTTTTGTATTTATATAGTTTTGAAATATTTTCTGTAATTTTCTTAAGTTGAACGATCTTTTTGAAATTATTTAATTGAAATGAGAGAAAAAGGTTCAGCATATTTTGCAGCTGGTACTCTTGAAAGCTGAATGGAAATTGCAGAGCCAATTTTATATATTATGATATTTATGCATTTGTGAAAATTCTTGCATTTTAAGCATTCTTTGTGCACATTGGATTTGAAATTAATCTAGTCATGTGTGTGTAAAACTACTTTAATTTTACTAATAAGTAACTTGATTTTATAGGATTGCCTCTATATATACTAATAGCACCATAAAGAAAATGTGTTAAAAAATTCAACATTTTTCTATGTTAATTTGCAGGTCGAAGGTTTAGAACAGATGTGGAAAGATGTTCACTTCAGAGAAAGGAGTCGTGGAAGAATGGTTGTCAGAGTTTAAGGTAATATTTCTTTTCTTTTTTCCTGCCTTTTTTTTTTTTTTCTTTTTAATATAGTGATAATATTCCTAAGAAGTTTTGTCTAGGGTTTAAATTCCATTGCTTTTTTAAAATTTATGACTGAAAAGCTAAATATCTATGGAAGAAGTATATTCTAACAAATCTTAGTAGGGTGTCATTTGCACATAGCAGGGATTTTGTTTGTTTATTTTAGGATTTTTACTATAGGGCATGTGTGCTTGCCAGAGAGAACAAAAGGGAAAGTGAGAAATCCTCCAGGGAGATTGGCCTTGCCAAATCCCTTTTCCTCCATTCTCTCCTTGGGATTCTGGGCATGCACATCTACACACCCAAGATGATTTTCAAGCCACTTGAGCTGTGACTTGAACTGCAGTCAGCTGTGTGGGACTCCAGTGCCTTAATTACCACATGACCATATTCGCCCAACTTTCTACTAGTGGACCTTTCTCTAATTGGCTAATCCAGTAACTATTTAAGGGATATATAACCTTTGATTAGTTGATGAAGGAAATAAAACTTCTGTTTTCTTGTCTCATGAATTTTTCTCTGATAGTCACAACTGTGTTCCTCATACCAGCTTGCTCCTGTCCTTACATGACATGTATTCATTTGAGTTTCACAATCATGAAGCACAGGAGTGATGAGTTTAGTCTATAGCTGTCATTTTGACTTTGTCCAGCCCAAGCAGCCAAGACTTAAAGTCTAACAAAGACTGGCTTATAGATTTGTTGCAGTGAGGGAAACTGCACAACAGATACAGTGTCTCTCACTAAACAAGGAAAAGATAAAGTTACTGTAGCATTTGGAGGGGGATAAAATTTAAGTGCAATTTAATCAAAGCCTTATTTTCATGAGCTTGAAACAAAAGAGGGCTGAGTGTAATGAGTTTGACATCTGGTCTGGACTTCAAAGTGGTCCCAAGATCCTGTTGTTTTGGAAACTACAAAGTTAACTTAAAGATTGTTTCTCTGTGTCAAAACTTAGTGGTCTAGCTGGCAAGAATGGGTTGTTTTTTTTACTACTCATCTATGTTCAAACAAAGTTTCTGATAATCTATCATTTTAGACAACAAGTGTTCTCAGTTCAGTAGTTACTCAAAAAAAAGGTTGTTTTGACACTTTTCAGCTATAGCACGTCCTTGGGAAAAGCAGTATTTCTTACTAATTTTGCAGTTGGCCTGACCTGTTTCTGTTATCTAATCCTGATAAATGGCTGGGCAACTTCTTAGTATCTCAGCTTTTATAGTCATACATTGATCATACCTGTGTAGACTCCCTAAATCATCATGAAGTGATGTAGAATAGTATAAAAATGTACTGCAGGACAGTGTTAGTGTGTGCTTCTATGAGTCTGTGTAAGCTCTGCAGGCTGGAACCACAGGGGAGACCTAGATTCAATTCCCTGTTTAACCTGAAGTGTGGTTAAGGGACACACATCTCTTTTTCTGGTGATTTGGAGAGGCTGAGGCAGAAGATCTTGAGCTCAAGGCTGGACTGAGCAACAAAGCAAAATGCTATCTGAAAAAGAGCTGGTCCTGGTATGGCATCTGTAGTCCTAGCTGGAAGGCTGAGGCAAGAAGATTCCAACAGCAAGACCTTAGCTAAAAGGGGAAAAGAAATAAAAGAAAAGAAACAGACAAAAAGAATAGATTGTATTTAGTGTTTCCTGCATTTTTAAATAGTTTAATGAAATCTCTTTTCTCCTCTCTTTTTAATTTCCAAAGGGTGAGCTTGTCAGAGAGAGGGAGAGGGAGAAAGTGCCTCCAGTGGAATGTGATCATACTACAATCTCCATCTTGTTGAGATTTTGGGCACATGTGTACATGTGCCCACTGTATTTTCAAGCTCCCAGGGCTGGGCTGGGATTTGAACTACCATCAGCCATGTGGGATCTGGCTCCCTTAACCACTGGGCCATGTGCTAGCTCTTGATTAAAACTTGTGTATGTGTTTTTTTTTTTTTAATGCTAATGTTGCCTTTGTGAATAAACATTCATTTAAGGTGATTTTATTTCATTTTTTTCCTTGCTTCAAAAATATTTAATATTGTCATGATTTTGCAGGGGACA